GAATTGGGCAACACGTTATTCTATAAAATAGCATAAGAATTCGGTTGAGCTGAGTGGAAGATGTTGTTTTATGGTAAGAGAAGTGTTGAAGAAAGACACAACTTTCTTTTGAAGTTCTTTTCCTTGGAAGGCAGAGTCAGGGAAATAGAACAATAGAAAAACAATTCCTAGGTTAGCATTAGGTTCCTTAGGTTACTTTTCTGTTTGGTAAAGATTAAAGCAAAGAGGACTTCATTACCATCCGTTTCATTGCTTCATTATCATTGAAGCTGGCCTTTGGGAAATTTGACTGTTATATTCTGAATTCTGGGAAAGTCAGATAACAACTTGGTTTGTCTTTGGTGACTATTTTGATATTTAGTCTGGTCAGTTGGGGCCTAGTGCAGGATCTTAGTCCAAGAATGAGGGCCTCTTAAATTTTTACTTCAAAGATTTAACCTAATAATGATCAACTCAGAGTGACTTTGGTCCCCTCAGGTCATTCGGCACTGTTTGGAGATACTTTTGGTTGTTAAAACTTGGTTGGGAATGCTGCTGGACATACTGCAAATGTACAGAACAGCACCTCTAAGAGAATTATGTACTTTAAAATGTCAATAGTGCCAAAATGGAGAAACTAAACAAAGCTATGATATATAATTGTGTTGGGAGATGGAAATATGAGAAAGGTACATGGATGACTGCAATACTATGTCTTTAACTCTTTGAGAAGGTCCCTGTAAGGGAAGTACTTGGGTCAAACAATTTCTGGTTTAAATGTTGAGGAATTTACATACAGATTTCCATAATGGTTGTACCAGTTTATGTTCATATCAGCAGTGTAGAAGAGTTTCTTTTTCTCTGCAGTGTCCCCAGCACTATTTGATTTCTTGATGATATACATACATACTCATGTTTTTAGCAGAACAGTTTAAAATAGTTAAAAATCTTGGAAGTGGCCTAAATGGCCAATAGTTGAATGGACAAAGAAAATGTGTTATGTATAAATAATGGAGTACTACTGTGCCATAAAGGATAAACTTGAGTGATTTATAGGAAAACGAATACCTGAGACCATAATGTTAAGTGATATAAATCAGACACACAAACTTAAATATTGCATGGTTTCTCTTATATGAGAAACCCAAAATGCAGAGTAAAAGATTGGGAATAAGGAGGTAGATAATTTACAAATGGAAGCGGGGTCCAAGAGAAGGGAAAGGAAGGGTTACGGAGAGGAGAAAAGGGATGAAAAAGAATTAAGATATGTTACATGTACCAGCTCCTCACAAGGAGTATGGTCATTACTGCAAATATTTTATTAATAAAAAACTAAAAATTGAAAAAAGTGTCAATCAGGCAAAAAAGAAAGTTACAGGAAGTGGGAATGGAAATGGTCAGTACCTCATCTTCCATAGTAGAGGTCAATAGAAAATGCCTCAAACTGAGTTCAGAAAAAAGAGGGCCAGTTTTGTTGTGGGGGGAGTGTCCTTTTTTTTTTCTGAAGGAAGGTCTTGTGCAGTTCAGGCTGGCCTTGAACTCCCAGCCATCCTCCTGCCTCAGTCTTCAGAGTGCTGAGGCTATAGGCCTGCTGCACTTTTCCTGGCAAGCACTATTCTTTGCAGTGCTTTTTGTTGTCCGTGCGCCATCTAGTGGCCAGTCGTGGACATGGGCAGTGGTCTTGCAGTCAGTTCTCAAAGATTAAAATGGACAATTGCAGTCTGAGCATGAGCAGATCAGGGTTGAGCCCTAGACTTCATATGTTTTATGAGGTCTTTTTCCTGGCTGTTCTCCCTCTTACCATCTCTCTCAAACTTGTGTGTTCCCTAGGGCTTGCCCTTTTCGGTCCTATAGCCAGAAAATCATGCTGTACACTTCATGTTACTGTCCGTGTGTGGGACCAGCCAGCCAGAAAACCGAAAGAAAAAGCCATAAAAGAGTGTCCTTACTCTTTTTTTTTTTTTTTTTTTTTTTTTTTTTTTGTTTTTCTCCGGTACCGGGAACCGAACTCCGACCTTGCGCTTGCCAGGCAGGCGCTTTTGCCGCTGAGCTAAATCCCCAGCCCCTGTCCTTACTCTTTTGGAATCATACATCCCTTGAAATTGGAAAGGAAGGTTCTTGTCCCTTAGGGTTTTAGGCTCTGTAGGTCTTTGTTACTATTACCTCTAAAACCATGATGGGACAGATTGTGGACTAGGGTCTGAGTGAATGGAGAAAAGAAAGTTAGGATTTCTCCCACCACCAAGCATTACAGGATGCTAGTGGACTCCTTTCTTAATCATTGAGGGAGAACTCAAGAATTTTGGGAACTTTCTATGTCCTTGGCTGATGATGCCTGCTTCTAACTCCCAATCTAGGACAGTGGATAACAGATGGTGGAAAGGGATAAACTCACATTGATTCTGGTCTTTTCAGAACTTTTCTTTCATAGTCCCCAAATGGCTGCTTTATGTATCTGTTCATGTTTTATAGCTGCATTTGATGGGAAGAACAGATTAGTGCATGCTTAACCAAGAAGAATCTATAAGCATTTAAAGATAAACTAATCTAGATAATATCTTTGCATATTTGTATTACTATAAACAATTTGCTAGACTGTTGGGAATGGAAATATGTACAGATACAGTATGTATCTCACTGAAGTAATTTGGAAAGGTTTGTGGATAATAATAATAATAAAAATCATAAAATTGCTGTGATAGGAGTCAGTGTGTGGTGTGATCAAAAATACGGTGATTGTTTTAAGATGTTTAAAAAATTATTATAGGAAAAGATACATTTCTGTTATTCATCTCCCTCAAAATACCGCCCCCCACCTTTGAACATATTTATCCCAGTGCACTTGTAGCTTTCTGAAGCGGTTCTGGAAGTCCATTTTCATGAGCGTCTTTAGTTGTGTTGTTGTGAATGCCTAGATGTACTGAATTGATTAAAAATGATGGCTTTTGATGGTCAGTTTGACTTTGGGGAAGAGCTAGAATTCACATAGTGACAGATCTAGTGCTTAAGATGGATGAGGACAAATCATACTGTTTCTATGAGTGCTTTCCTGTTAGGTGCCACTTGGCAGCAACATTCACCATGTTTTTGATCACACCTCATAAAAATGTGAAACAGGACTTCCAGAACTGCTTCAGGAAATGGCAAGAATGATGAGCTGTGTGTGTAGAGCAAGAGGAGTGTTTTGAGGGGGTTAATGGCAATGTGTCTTTTACTGTAATTATAAAAAATGTAACATTTACTGTATATTTTGGCTATAGCTCATATATGTCTGTTCTGGGGAGTCTGGTATACTTAGATTGTAGAGGTAGTGTTTGTAAGTCTGAGCAGTTTCTAGGTATGTAGCTCAGTGGAGTGTTGCCTCACATGTGCAAGGCCCTGGGTGCAATCCCCAATACTGTTGGAGAACAGAAGAGTTACAGTTTACTAGATGGATTAGGAAAGAGGAGAATGTATATAATATAAAAATGAAAGCTTATGAGTTTCAAGAATTAAGTCTCACTAGATGTAAAGAACCTCAGTGATAAGAGATTGAATGGTTGGGCAGGAACAAGATCTCATGTGGTTTTGTGCCTTAGCTAATGCCATTAGATTTGCACGTGTGGCCTTTTGTTCTTAGTATATATGCAGTTTAAGTTCCTTTTCCCCATGATTTTTCTGTATTGAAATAGATAACTGTTCGTACATGTGTCTTATTTCCTTATTATTTATTGGAATGTTACTCACTAAGTTTGTAATTTAAAAATATTTTCTTGAGTTTTCACTGGACACTTGAGAAGAGCCAAGAATCAATTATTAGTACCATCACTACTGAGCAATGTAAGTGATCAAACTGGTGATACTATTTTTAATTTTTAAAGATGACTAAAAACAATTAAGCCAAGTGTGATAAAACATAGGACTTTCAGTCTAATTCCATTAAAACTGGAGAACGCAAACTATCTCTAGTGACCAAAAACAGATCAGTGATTGTCTGGACATACAAAAGTTGGGTTGACACAATGGTTTCAAAGGGACAGGAGGAAATTTGGAAGATGATGGTTATGTTCACTATCTTGATTGCGATGATGATCATGAGTACATCCATATGTCAAAATAAATTAAAAAGTACATATTAAACATGTTTATAGATGTCCTCAATAAAATTTTACTAAAAGGAAAACATGACTTAAAGAAAACCTGTGGGCTCATTTTATTTAGTTGAACGTATCTCTCAATGGTTACTGGAAAAGAGTTTACCAGAAATGCTTAGCAAAGTATTATTAGATGCTTAATGCCTGCTACAAAGTTTCAGTTAGATTTACTGTCTAACTGAAATTTTCAGTTAGATTTCTATCAAATTTTCAGTTAGATTTACTATCAAATTTTCAGTTAGAAGAAAGGGATATATTATCACATATATATGTATAATACAGTATGTTACATATGTACATTTACCTAATAGATTTTTTTTTCCTACTTTTTCTCTGTGTACTTAAAAAAACAGCTTTGGATTTTAAAAAAATTTCACTGAAAGTGAATTTAAATTGGGAATATACAGATTAGGTTCTCTTGGAAGTCTGTTATGTTAAAGAGCTTCAAGAAAGAATCAGTTTCTTTCTTCACTGTATTTCTTTGTACAGTTTTATATTTGAAGGTTAATTAGGCACATGTGAAATGTTTGTATTGAATCTTACAAATATATTTGCATAGATTGTTGGAAATGTTACTAGTCATGGGAAGAAGCCCTAGTGAAGGGTGTTTTCTTGCCCACTTTGTTAGTGAGCTTTTATTTTTGTACTTGTAAACACAATACACAGACTCTTTAAAAATTACTTTTTGAGATAAATGTTTAATCTCCTCTGTTTTCTCTCTCTGAAGACTCATTTCTCTCATTTCCCCAAATTCTGATTGCTTCCTTGATTATTACTGCTTTTGATCTCTTTTCTAAATTGGTGGGTCAAGGGTAAAACAGTTAATTAGGTTAAAATAAATCATTATAATTGGTAAATATAATTTTTTGTGTGTTTTGTTTTTGACAGCCGATTTATTTTGCATATTCCCAGCGAGGAAAGAGACAATGCAATCCGAGTGTGTTTTCAGATTGAACTTGCCCATTGGTTTTACTTGGATTTCTACATGCAGAACACACCAGGATTACCTCAGTGTGGGATAAGAGACTTTGCTAAAGCTGATATCCTTTTGTTACTATGATGACTGTCTTTCATTCTCATTAATAAAATAGCCTCAAAATCAGATCAAATTTTAAAATATAAAATTGTGGAACACATAAAATTCAAATTATAAAATGAATTTAATGTGATGTTTTTGTTTTGCCCAAACCTTTCATCTCAGTGGAAATATGGTGCTAACTTAAAGGTCCTTTTGAGTTTGGTGTCCAAGTACTACCGGTTGTTACACCACTTTTTCCTGTTTTATCTGTTATGTTTCTGTTAGGGTATCACTTTGTATCCCCTATACCACATACTGTCCAGTTTGGAGGATGAGCATATCCAATGTTTCTTTTTAAGCTGACAGTACTTTCGGTAACACATTGATTTAACTTTTCTCTATTAACTCTTCATCTTTAAGATATTTTTCATTGTAAAACCAATACATGTGTGTAGTAAAGAAACATAAGGGTATGGACTATATCTTATCCCTAGTTCTGCTTCCCAAACTGAACCGGTTTTTGTGTATGTTCTGATGGTTTCTGTCTGCAATGTGTATTCTTTACCTCCTCCATCTCTGTGCCAGCTCTGCCCCTTCTTGTCCCTCCCTCTCCAAACATATGTACTTCCGTTTCTTGTTGTCAGTTTTAGTATCTTTTCACTCTGATAATGATGAATTTTAAAGGTAGTTGAGCTGTTACAGGTTTTAAGTCCATTTGTGTTAACTCAGGGATCTAGGATTCTTCATTATCCAAAGTTTACTTAATTTGTGTCTATGCTAAATACAGAAGGTAACAATGAATTTGCTTAAGAGAAAAATGGATGTGGAAGAAACAAAAAATGTTAAACTCAAATAAAGTGATATTTTGAGTAATTTCATGTAAAACACACCGTTGATTTAACTAGGTCTCTCTGTACGTAATTTTTCAAGCTGTGTTAAGGGAGAAAGAAACTTCCTTAACACTATACTCTTCAGTCATTGTCCATTTTTGCTGCCTCAAGGTGAAGATGTGGAAAAAATTTTGGATGAATGGAAGGAATATAAAATGGGAGTACCAACATATGGGGCAATTATTCTTGATGAGACACTTGAAAATGTGAGTGTAATAAAATAAAAGTTTGGTGATCAACTGTTAGTTCTTAGTTTATAAACAAAATTTGTTGTATAGTGCTTTTGAGGTTTTAAAATACAGTATACTTAGATCTATAGGGCTAAAGGGCCAAATTTTGCATATTTTTGCTATTTTTCTGAGTCTTAGGATTTTTTAGTTGTTACATTTGTGGCTTATTCCAAAGAAGTGTCATTTTATTATTGAAGAAACATTTTTTATAAAAGGCAATGTGCCTTTATTTAGAGTAATAGTATATTTAGACTTAAGGAAGTCATTTAAATCAAAGGCCATGTACAGTTATTGGTGGTAGTAGTTACTTGAAAAGCACCTTTGAGTTTAGGAGCATTGGAAAGGAGGGCAAGTTTGAGTTATATTTCTGCTTGTTTTGTAGGTACTACTGGTTCAGGGGTACCTAGCAAAATCAGGCTGGGGATTTCCAAAAGGAAAAGTAAATAAAGAAGAAGCTCCTCATGATTGTGCTGCTAGAGAGGTAAGTATTGCAGTTTCAAACAGTTATTTGACTGTTAGGTTCCAAGTATTGTTTAATCACTTACTGGTCCAATAATACAGGATGACCAAAAATGGCATATTTTTCATTAATTTTTATAAGATAACCTAACAAATACAAAAATGACAGTTTTACTAAATGTGTATAATACAAGAACGAGCTAAAATGACACCTGCCTGAGTGACAAGTGGGATAGTCAGTATGTAAGCAAATGCACTGCCCAAGTGAGGCTCGGCATAAACTAGTAAGTGGTTAAAGTGGTTAAAGCTGTGTGGACTTGCTCTTTGGGACCGTCTCATCTTTCTAAAACTTTTTGAGTGCATAAAGTACTGTAACTTACCACATATCTGTTGATTGTTTTGTCCACATATCTCTTCATTTATTGTTCTCTGTTTCCGTTTTCCTTCTCTGTTTTTATTTGTTTTTTTGGTACTAGGGATTGAACCTAGGGCCTTTGCACCATGCTACAATTCCAGCCCTTTTTTATTTTTTATTTTCAAAGGAGCATTGCTAAGTCACTAAATTGCCCAGGCTGAGCTTGAACTTGCAGTCCTCCTCCCTCAGCCTCCCCCAGCACTGGGATTATAGCTGTGAACCTGATTGGACTGTCCATTTTAAAAGTCATCTCTTTTGCTCCTTTTTTAATGATGGTGTTTTCAACCTTTCATTTTAGAATTGACTTTGTAATTGTAAAACATTTTGGCTGTTACATTCCTCGTTTTATATTATAGTTTTGACTTCTGTGTAGGTGCACAAATGGGAGCGTTCTAAGAAATTTACATTTGTTGCTTGAAATCCTATGCCTATAGGATGAAGAAGTTTTTAAATTCTGACTCCCCTCCCCACTCACATCCGATCCATTTAAAGGATTTATTTGCTGTCCTCTGAACTTGACTGATTTGTTTCAGACTCTAAGTTTTTGCTAGAATTATTTCCTCACCTGAAATATCCCCTTTTCCTTCCTGTTTGAATCCCATATATGTATGTTTCTAAGCCAGCTTAAATTACTGCTTTTCTTTGAAGTTCTGTGACAAACTAGCCTGGTGTGTAGGACCTGAGTTTCTTACCTGTAAAGTGAACTTTAGAATGGGTAAGTTCATCCTTACTAAGAAGTCCAGTTTACCAGCCAGCTCTAGCCCACAGTAATCTCTGAACTTTAGTAACAGCCACTGTTATCATTCATGTAGCATTAATTATGCAGTACCTTGTGTACTGTTTACTTACAAATTTTTTATCATGACATTGTGCTTTGTCCTTGAGATTTGAGAAGTTGACCTGTGGTAAGTATGATGTAGTAGAATCGTGGCGTAGAATTGAAAGATTTTTGTTCTAGTGTAGGCTCTGCTACTTAATAGCCTAGAAGATGTTGTTTTGGGCAAGATTTAATCTCTGTAAAAACGAATTTATTAAGGAGAGTCACTTTCAAGGATATCACTACTAGAAATGATATCTTTAAGGAAGAAACAAACAAGGTAGTGGTTTTAATTTGAGGGGTTTTTTTTGAGATAGTAAAATGGATTTTGTGGCATATTTTATAGTAGACTCCATAGCCTTATGTTTTCCTGCAGTAGAGTTTATTGCCTACTTTAACTTTGAATGTAACTATTACGGAGGAATAAAAGTTCAAATTCTTTTAAACCATTAACTATTAGTGAGGAATAAACTTTACATTCTGATAAACCATTAGTGTTTTTTTACCATAAGGAAAGCAAAAGTTATTTAAATCCTGCAAGGTAGGATTTTAAAAAATGGTTGAAAATACTGTATTTTAAATTCACTATGAAATAGCTTATCCAGGCTAGTATTTGTGGTATTTGTAGCAGCTTATAGACAAAGCTATAAAATAAAGTTTTATGTACACCCCTTAAACTGAAAGCTGCTTAGGGAGAAGGTAGTTACCACATCCCCTGAGGGTTGTCTTTCCTTTCTGTAGATGATAGAGGATGTAGAGGAGCAGTGTCTAAGTCTTCTCCTTTAGGTCTGTTCTCATGCTCATTAGGAAGGACAGAACAGGAAATGTGCATCTCATTTAGAGAAATTGAATTGCAGTCCTGCTCTTGTAGTTAAAACTACAGCAAAGTAGTTGAACACGTCCAGAAAGGACACTGCATTAAGTGAAATGACACATTTTGGTTAAATTGTCAACTATCTCTACAATTGAATTCTCTAGGGGGAACATGAGGAAAAAGAAAAAGTTAAAGTTAAAAAATTGAACAAGACCCACAACATGTACCTGTGTCCCCACTAGTGCCCTTCTTCTTATGAGTTTTGTATACCATATTGTAAAGAGTAAGAATAATGCAGGAATAGGATGCTGTATATGGAAGAAAAAGAGAGAGGGGCAGTTCACCTGTGATCTGAGGCATCAAGTTTTCTCTTTCCTTTCTCTTTGTTTTCTGCGCTGGGATACTAAGATAAAAGGCTATTCTGTCCATGTACTAATTTTAGTAATGACTGTAACTCATAGTTTACAAGAAAGTAAATAGAATTTATTCTTTGGGCATGGGAAACAGAATGGAGTATGAATGGTAAGATCTAAGGGGGAGGCTTTGGAGGGATAATACAACTAGATGTTGGGCATTGCTAATCTGAAAAACTTCCAAATCTGAAACACTTCTGGTCCCAGGCATTTTAAAAAGGGGATACTTACATGGAAGGGTCCCATTGCCATTTTTACAAGTGAGGGATCTTGGACAGTAGTTTAGTAGCAAGCCTGAGGTATACAGTTACTGAACAGCACAGCAGCAATGCAAAAGTAGTATGGCTCTGGAATCCATGCTGTGCTGTGACCACTCAGGGAATATATTGTTTACAAATAAATACGTATATTTCTGAAAACACACCTTTTTTTATTTTAAAGACAAAAAGAAAACAGTAATAAAATAACAATGAAGACAAAAACAAAACAATACATAAGGGCTGGGGATTTAGCTCAGCGGCAAAGCGCCTGCCTAGCAAGCGCAAGGTCGTGAGTTCAGTTCCTGGTACCGGAGAAAAACCAAAAAAACCAAAAAAAAACCAAAAAACAAAACAATACATATATAATAAAAACAATACAGGATTTCAAAACAAGATGATAGGAATTAACAGTGGTTATTATATTACATATTGTTATCTTCAACAAAGTTGCTCAGAGTACCAAATGCAAGATTGAGGAAACAAAGACAATAACAAGTAATAAAAGACATATTAGAAACAATACAGAGCTTCATCAAACAAGATGGTGGTGGTGGGAATGTAGCAGTGGCTGTTACATTGCATATTGTTGTCTTCTAACCAGTTGTTCCAATTACCAGATATAATCATGGAAAATTGGACAAAAGAAAAGAGAAAAAAGACAATTTAAGTATTAACTGTTCCTTTCAACAAAACAATAGACATGAGCAACATACTTATCCCAGCTATCCTTGTATATACATGCATATATTTTTTCTTTTTTCTTTAATTTTAAAGAGAAAATATCAAAGACAAAATAACAAAAGCATAGGCATTAACAAACAACATAAAAACAATAAAAATGATACAAAATTTCAAAACAAGATGAGAGGAAATCAAGGAAATCAACAATAGTTGTTATATTGCATATTGTTATCTTCAAAGTAGTTGTCCAGATTACCACATATAAGCATGCAAGATTTTCGTTTTGTTTTGTTTTTGTTTTTCTTCTGGTACTAGGAATCAAACTCACGACCTTATGCTTGCCAGGCAGGCACTGTGCTGCTGAGCCCAGCCCCAAGCATGAAAGCGATCAAAAAAAAGTTACACATTAACTGTTCCTTTCAATAAACCAATAGAAACTAGTGTTACAATTATTTTAGCTGTCTTGTGAATATAAATATACCTATTTTTCCCCTTCTTTCTCTTTTTTCCCCCTTTTTCCTCATCCTAGTTGTTCTTTCCAATTTAAGCAGTTTCTTTCCCTTTCATAACATATATTGTACTTTTCAGATTTTATTTACTCTTTCAGGTTTTTATAGTAGGGAGGAAATATATTTACACATGTGAGTCTGATTTATTTCACTTATGAGTATGGTCTCAAATTGCATCCATTTGCCTATAAAAGCCTCTAGGTTATCTTTCTTTATAGCTAAGTAATACTCCATTGTATAAAAATACCACATCTTTTTTTATCCATTCCTCAGTTGATGGACATTTGGGTTGTTTCCAAGATTTAGCTATTACAAATTGCACTGCCCTAAACATGGGTGCACATATATCGCTGTGATACGATGTTTTTAGTTCTTCTGAAAAAATACCCAGGAAGGGAATAGCTGGGTTGAATAGGACCGCTAATCTTAACTTTTTTGGGGGTGGGGGGTGGGGGTAGGGTTTCCAGTACCGGGAACCGAACTCACAACCTTGCGCTTGCCAGGCAGGTGCTGTGCTCCTGAGCTAAATCCCCAGCCCCCAAATCTTAACTTTTTGAGGAATCTCCACACTGATTTCCACAATGGTTTCACCAGTCTGCCTTCCCACCAACAATGGAGAAGGATTCCTTTTTCCCCACAGCCCCTCTAGCATTTGTTATTCCTGATACCTTGATGATAGCCATTCTTTCTGAGGTGAGATGGAACCTCAGTATTGTTTTAATTTGCATTTTTTGAATGACTAATGACGTTGAACATTTTTTCATGTATTTATTTGCCATTTGTATTTCTTTACCAGAGAAGAGTGTATTCATCTCAGATGCCCATTTTCGGATTGGGCCTTTGAATTTTGGAGGCTTGATTTTTAAAAATTCTTTATATGTTCTGGACAGAAGTCCTTTGAGGGACATTTGGGAAAAATTTTTTCCCAGTAGGTAGGTTTTCTTTCACCTTGTTGGTGATTTCTTTTGATGTGCAAAAACTTTTCCATATGATGAGATCCCAGTTGTTGATTCTTTGAAGTATTTCCATGCAATGTGGTTTTTGTTAATGAACTCTCTGCCTACCCCTATGTCTTCAAGATTTCTATCTACTTTCTCTTCCAGTAGATCTAGT